CATAACTGAGAGTGCGCCTTTTAGTCCGGTGCGCCTTATGGTCGTGAAAATACGGTACTAAGAAAACGATACAAAGAAAAATAGCTGCAAAAAAGACTTAGCACTGGTTAAGTTGTGGCTTTAAAACTGATTTGTTTTGTTCCCTGCTAAAACAAAGTTTGTGAATTCAGTTAAATAATTGTTCAAATATAGCTGTTATTTTTGTGTTTTTAGCTTTCTTCTTGTATAGGAAGTTTTTCAAAATGTAAAACATTAGTGCAGGGGTTTATGTTAAAATAAACCTTTGGGTTACGTTGTCGCAAGCGGGTTTTTCTTGTGTTTGTTGTGAATTTGGTCTTAAATTTTTACTTCAAGTGGCATTAAAAAGTCTTAAAAAGTCTTGAATTTAACTTGCCTTATGCTGTAGGAACCCTGTCTATAAACCCTGTTATAGTATTCTCTATTCATGCTGCTCAGTATGTCTCCTTGGAGATTTTGTTTGTGGATTTGTATTATTTTTCATAAGTGTAATCATATGAGTGTAATAGCCTTCTTTATGTCAGCTTACCAGCAGTGCACAGCAACATCCTTTTCATTGGACCAAAAACTAAAAATCACATTGCAATAAGTGTAAGCAGTTCTATAAACTTTTATTGAACTTTGTAATGCCAATAACCAGCCTATGCCTATACGAGATGCATTTTCTGTCGCTGAGAAATCGGATGAGAAAGCAGGGAAGTCCTTAGATTCTCAGGTTTTGACTTCTCTAGGAGGTCTGCTTTTTGGAGCTGTGCCTTTTCCCACTCATTCATCACTTTATGCTACAGTACCACTTATCTGTTCCCGTTAATGCAGGGCAGGAATTGCCCTGCAGGATGCAGGTGGCCCACACACATAAACAGACACACACACACACTGGTGCATCTCTTGCAATTACTGCACTCCTGCTCACCCTTCTATTTCCACTGGCCTCCACAGACGTGGTGAGAGGCTGAAATCTAGACTGTGTTTTTACTGTAAAATCTGGGCCAGGTGCAAGTGAATGTACATTAATGTAGATGTTGTGGATGGGCAGATCAGATGGTTGGGTTGGCCAGCTGTTTGCTGAATATGGCTCTAAATTGTAACTGTATTTAGCTGTAAGGAACAGTTTTCTTACTAAGTGTAAAGGGTTGCTTAAGGGCAAAATCAGGTCTTATAATTTCACCCTACACTTTTCCCCCTTGTAGTTTAGCTGTTTATTTAGAGAATATATAGAATTCATGTTATACACTAAATGTGTGGGATTAATATTTCAGGAACTCTTTTTATCTGGTGCAAATGAAACATGTCAATTCTGACTATTAGAACAAACATTAAGAGGTCCAGTTTAAAGCTTGAGTGATTAAAACAGCTCTTTTATTATCCTCTAATGTGTACCAGGCCTCAAATCATTACCCTACTTCCCTTATTAGGCAGGACCCCTGCCTGCGCCTTTGCTCATTTGAACTCACAAAAAGTCCATGTGAGACCCCATGTGTGTATCTTGGACTGCCCAACCCCCACAAAGCATTCAAGCAACACCCCTCAAAGCATGTTCACAATTTGGACCTCTACAAACATCCGACTTGGGTACATGCCCACTTTTCAGAACCCCAGTCTTGCCGGTCCTCCATGAGTCCCTGTCCGTCTTGTGTGGCCCCTTCCTATCAGGCTTTCAGATCAGCTTGTGGCTCTTAGTTTAAAGGGGGGATCTAGTTAAGCAGAACCTTCATGCAACCTTTTTCTCACTTCTTAAAGTGTAAAAGGGTCTGAAGCACACTATTTCTTTTGACAGATATTCTAAACAGATTTTCAGAAAGCTGTTTGAAAAGCTTCCTAAGTGAACACAACAATAAAAATGAAAGAAAATCCCTAACCCTCTTCTGTATTCATGTCTAAAGCTCTTTTTGTTGACCTCTATGAAATTGTCGAATTGTGTGGAAATTTATTCTGTGCCCTGCAAAAATGTCCTTAAACATGTTGACATTTTGTCATGTTGAGATTCCATGTTAGAAAAAAAAAAAATATCTGAAATAGAAGACGTTGGATAATTACTTTATCCAGATTAATTTTATTAATGTGCCCTTAGCAGTCTGGTGTGATTCCATTGCAGGCTGCCACTCACAAGCAGTACACAGAAAATGGAAAATTATACCCCCTAACCTTAATTTTTTTATGATTTTGTTCAACCACTATAACATATCAGATATCTGGTAAGTGAAAAAAAAAACACACTAACTATAAAGTTTAACTTGCTTTTATATTTAGCCACCTATACCTCAAATTCCCTAAGAAAAACTAGGGCAACCAATTACTTGCAAAGGTCACCTACTTCTTAAACGACATCCACCTACCTGTATGTGAATATCATTGTAGTCTATTAAACAGTCTTAAAACATGGCTGCTGATGCACTAATGAAACGGCGAACGACTGCATAAATTGGCTGATACAAGAGAAAAACACCGCTATAATTGGCCAAAAATTTTGGCCAGCTGATGTATCTGATTATCTATATTAGCATCGGCAGATGCAGGAGATTGCCTCAGAAGTGTTAGCAGACGCTCTCCATCCAGTCTGACTGAGCTTGTGTTTCATTGTAGGGATTGTTTTCCTGAGGTGATGGGATGTTAGATTTATGCCACAGAAGGAGTTGTCCTTGGTGGCTGAAAAAAAGTACAAATTTAGCTTCTGACCGGAGCATGTTGCTTTGGGGAATCACACATATACCATTTGGCAAACATAACATTTGTCTTTTTATTTTTAACATGAAATAATGTTCTTTTTCTGGCCAGTCATCCATAAGGCCCAGCTCCCCCGTTCTTCCTTTTTTGATGCCTCTGGTGATCATGGGACAGTTTCCACAGGTGGACTTCATTTCACTAATTGTGACCTTTGAAGGCAGTTGTTGCTCCAGAACTTTTTAAGGGTTTTATAGTGAAGCAAGGGGGTACAGATGCCAGTTTTCTACATTTTATTTTGCATATTTTCTCTTTTCACTTCACCAACTTAGACCTTTTGTTAAGATCTATCACATAGAATCAGATCAAAAGGAATTAAACTGATTATAAGAATACAACAAGATTGGTAGAAAACCAAGGAGATTAAATACTATATAAGGGTGTGTCATTACAGTGGAAATTAATTACTTCCAGCAATGTAGCTTAGGAGAAAAAAGGATATTTTATTTACAAAGATGGCAAACATACAATCAACAGTAACGTGATTCTGGGTTTGTGGGATATGATGTTTGTCTCTAATTTAGCGTGTTTGCTCTTTTATATTTAAGCCAGAATGAAGTTATGCCATAGTTCATGTTGTGAAAATATCGAGTCGATAAACAATTCTCAATGTGTTGTTCCCTTTTCTTGCTGAGAGAAGTAAGGAGACGCACTCTGTTGAATGACACTGACCCTGAGCTCCGCTGCCCACACGTGTTACGAATTCCCCA